TTGAAGGTGTCGCATTTTTGCCATGGTGCGATGAAAAATATAGATGACCATGATATGCCACCGGCCACTGTCGTGGATGCGGTATGTGTCATTAAACATTTATTGTTGTGTTTTTGTTATTTCTATATATCGTTATTCAATATAATATTATTTTGTGTGTAGTGGATGGGAAAATTGATGCAAGTGGGACAGAAACTCTCTCAGGAGAAGGACAACATAACGACTGTATCTTCACAGACGAAGAAGACTAGATGACGATGTACGAGGCGTTATCCTGATTGTATATCACGATCCTGTATTCTTATACTGTTATACAATCGTAGTTATCTTTTGAAGCCGCCTGAAATTTACCGAATTTGGGTTGAAGTTGTATTAAATTTCTTCCGCTGCTTGTTAATTTCTTCAATTTATGGTAATATCGTTCTTTTTTCTAATCAATTTCCTTGCTTTTGTGCTTGAATATCATTCAGATATACTTGGTTTTATTGATTTATTGTGAAATTACATTGAATTTTTATTTATTGTGTAGTAGTAGAAAACCATTGTATTCAAATCTAGAGTTTAACAGTATGGCGTGTTGCGTGCATGGGGTTTATTGAGCGTTTTAGTTGATTTACATTTCAATTATTTTGGATTTTAGTCTAATTGACTGACAATCTCAAATGTTGCAGAATTTCATTTAATTTGGTTTTGTTTTATTACTCAGATCCTCCTTTTCTCGTTTTCTCGGCTGGGTTTTGCGCTATGAACTCAAGAATTGGCCTGGATAGATTGAGTTTCAATTTTATGGAATTTCTTAAATATTAAATGAAAATACATCATAACATGTCGCCGTCTAGAGTCCTTGAGAGATTTCTGAGTTGCTACTACTAAACAAAAATCAGATCTAATTGCAACTTGTTTTGCCCAATCAATCGCTTGTTGAGCATCTTCGAAGGGACCATCATGTACAAAAATCCTACTATGCCATATTATTTTTAAATTAATATAGTTATATAAAGATTAATTAATACATTTAACACAAAATTAACATAAGTAATTTCTAAAATTTTTATTTGTAAATTTCATTTCTATATATAATTTACACATGCAAAATTAAACATAATTTTATTAACATATATTTAAAGCATAATTTCAGATTAAAACAATTATTTTTTTTAACTTATTAACACATATTTAATTTCAAATTTATCAAAATTAAAAAACCACAAAAAAAAAAACAAAACAAAAAACTTTAACTAAAATTAAAAAAAAAATTACAAAAAGTTTAAATAAAAAAAAAAGTTTAAATAAAATTACAAAATTAAAAAGAAAACAAAAATAAAAAAATTACAAAAAGTTTAAATAAAATTAAAAAAAAAATTACAAAAAGTTTAAATAACATTACAAAAAAATAAAAAATAAAAAAATAATAAATAAAAAAAATTACAAAAAGTAGGAGTGGCGTTTGGCCAGAACGCCGCCACCGTGGCGATGGCGTCTGGCCAGGATGCCATAACCATGGTGGCGGCGTCCTGGCCAGGCGCCACATCCATGGTGGCGGTGTCCTGGCCAGGCGCCACTGCCACGGTTGCGGCGTCCCGGCCAGACGCCATCGCCACCGTAGTGGCGTTCCGGCCAGACGCCACCCCTACTTTTCGTAATTTTTTCCCCGGATTATCTCGCTTTCCGGCGACGATGATGGCTCTCCGGTGTCTCTCGGCAATCCACTCCAGCTCCACATTCTACGTGAGAGTGAATTACGGTTTCGGTAAAAATTTAGAAAAAGGGCAAAAGAGTCAAAGTAAAAATTATTGTGGGCTTTATGTAGAGATTTGTGGGCGATGTTTAACAAATCCCTTTATTAATCACAACTACGGCTTTGTTTAGTAATTAGCTGTTAGTTGGTTGGTAATCTGATTATATTAATTGGTTTGACCAACTGATTATATTAGATGATTTGACTAACTAGTTATAAACAACTGATTGTGTAAAAATATTTGGTAAATAGCTGTTTATTATAAGCTGTTTCAGTGTGTTTAATACTAAAAAGGCTAATTGTTCAATAAGCTAATTTCAAAAAGTTCTTATATTCCAAAAAACTCTTTTAATAAGCTATTCACCAAACACCAAACTTAGCTTTTTAAAATGGTCAAACCTCTAATAGTATTCAATAAGCTAAAAGCTTTTCAAAAAGCTCTTTACCAAATAAGACCATACGTTATCATACTTGGACTATGTTTAGTTCACCTTATTTTTATTTTATTCGTATTTTAGATTATATTAGAAATAAAATCAATTTAGATCAGAAAATTAAGTTTTGATCATACACCCTCTGTATTTTATTACAGTGTACTTGTTCCATTTGCACTTTTTGCACTATTCATCTAATTATTTTGACTAATGTTTGTGATTTATATCTAAGAAAAAAATTAATCTTGTAGGTACTTATTGCAATCATCTCATTTAATACAATATTAATTTTCAATTGTTATAATTTATACTTATGAATAATCTAATATATTACTGATAAAAGATTTGCATTGGCATACATGTTTAGGAGAAATGGAGCAAGTAATAAAATACCGAGGGAGTATTTTATTGTACTATGTCAGTTTTTTTTATCGTTAAATATATTTAATTTTGTAACGAAAAAAGTTTATGGAAAATATATATTAATAAAAGATATATTATAACGATTCCATATATATATATATATATATATATATATTTTATTTCCTTATAGTTTAGTCAGATCTGACTCTCATATAAGATCAGAAAAAAAAAAATTTAAATTAAAATAGATTAGCAAAAACAAGATAAACTAAACATGTTCTTAGCACCGGAGGAAAACCTAGGAATATTGTTTAATGGAGTCAAAATAAAAAATAATGTATAAGTTTATCTTTTTTATTTATTTATTTATTTTTTATTTATTTATTTATTATTATTTTATTTTTATTTTTATAACACACTGATTTAGCACAGATTAAATATATATATATATATATATATATATATTTTGAAAGGATTAAATAAATATTATTTGTTTAAAATAAGTTGTCAATATTTTTTTTTTTTTAAAAAAAAGTGTAATTATAATCTCATTAATTAATTTTGAAAGAAGTATTGTATTTTTGTAGTCTTGGAACTTAGGAAGAATTATTTTTGGAAAAAAAAATAGAGAAAAAACAAATGATGATTTCAAAAATAGTTTTGGCGGGAAAAAATTTCATAAGAAATTGACATGTGTCCCTCAATGATGTCAACATGTTTTATTTTAGTAGTATCAATTTTTATCAAGAAAGACTCCAAAATATTAAAATTCAAATGGAGTCAATTGATCCTACAATCACTAAGGTAGCACTGGCTCTGGCTCTGGCTCTGTTTAACACACTATAAAATATTTAAATCTTGATGAGCACCCACATTCAACATGACTACATGTACAAAACATGTACAAATCCTTAACTGTAGCTCAGTAAATGTGACTACTTGAGTACAATTAAAGACAAATGATTCGTTGACGAGAGCATGAGACCTATCGATCCTTTGGCAATTAGCCAATTAGGCCACTCTTTCATAATGGACGTTGAAAAGATATTGCGAAGATTTTATGATGATTGTCTTTAAAAATTAAAAAAAATCATCATAACGTTTTAGATTTTTTTTTTAAAACGTTATGATGAATTTTCTTTCTAAGAAAACCATCATAGAATCTTCGCAAAAATTAAGCCTCTCAGCACAACTTTATTTCGAATTATTGGGTTATACTCCGTAGTTGTAGAGAAAAATAAATTTACCCAGGCCGGCCCAATGGGCTAGAGTAAGAATTTAAGATATTGGTCCAAGATTTCAAGTCCAAATTCTCTTCTTTAGTTAGGTACTAGATTAATCCCGTGGGATGCACGGTTTTAACAAAACTATTTGTCAAATTTTTATAAAAAATAATAGTCAAAGATAAATATATGACAATACATTAATTTAATTTAATTTTTAGATAAATATAATTACTATGTCGTACAATAATACATCAAATAAGTTTAAAAGTGATAGTAAGATAGATATAATTATTATGTGGTATGGTTTTTTTTTACTTTTATTTCATATTAATAATAGGATAGGATATAATTCTTATAAATTTAAGTTTTATATATAGTTTTTTTAATATGGTGAGATAGGATATATTAATATAATTTAATGTTTTAAAGATAAAAGATATGTAGTTTCATAGTATATAATTTTTTTTTTTTTTTTTTAGATTTAGATTTTAGATATATTATTAGTATTTAGATTAATTATTTTAATATATAATTTAAAATTAAAATTTTATTTATGATGTCATTCTTCTTCTTTGCGGGAAATTTTTTAATGATAGGCCGCCACATAAGCATTGATGACATCTGAACTCAGTCTTTTATGCCTTAGTAACTGGCTCAATAAATTGGCCAGGGGAAAGAGAAGGATGGTGCATGAGTTGTTTATCTTGGTAATAAGGGGCATTATTTACCAAATTATGTTTAGACAATTATTAAATTTGATTTAGGTTTTTTAATTATTTTGTTAATAAAGTGGGAGTTAATGGGGAAAAGTGAGGAAAATAGGAGAATGTTGGAGAAAAAATAAAAAAATAAGCGGAGAGATGTTCTATAATGTAAATGATATTCATGGAAACCATGAGGTTCCATAAAAGCCTCATTTTGCATATTGGTCTTACATATCACATAAGCTTCAATCAAAATACGATGGTAACACCACCATGCACAACAACGTGAACAAAAGAGTGATAATCCAATGAAGGATTTCAAGCACCTTAATGAGACCCTGAGATGTCCAATTGGTGATTGAAACATTTAACTATGAGGTTCTAGTTTAATTTTCTAGTATTAACTTAACTATGGTTAAATGAGGCGTCTGACGTTATTTTAGGGTTAGTTTGGATAGAAAATAAGATTGAGTGACAATTAACAATTTAGTAGTACTTTGAGGATGTAATTTGCAAATTTTGTTTTTAAAGGCTGCAATTGGCAAAATATATGTTTTAAATGGTTGTAATTGACAAATTTTCCATCTGTTTCTTGCCAAACATTTATTAGTTATAGGTAGAAAACGAAGCAAAATAGAAAAAAAAGGTATGCCTATTTTGCAATTAAAAGAAACTAAATGAGGCTAGTTTCACTTCAACAAATTGATATCCTGGTTCTACTGCAGTCTTCTGATGCTTCAGAGTTCATCCTTAGCAGGCTGAGGATTGTCAGAAGACGACTTGATAGGGTAGCATGCATCCATAGCAATGCCACACTGTCCCTCCTTGGCGCTAACACTGCGTTGCATCCGAATGTAGCCCTTCTCACCCCATCCAGGTCCCCATGAGTTCTTCACTATCCAATACTTGGTTCCGTCTTGTGTTATTCCGTATCCTACTGCTGTTACTGCATGGTCCAAGTCTGTTCCACACTTTCCAGTAAACACACCCTGCATTCATTAAAATAATCTTTTAATGAGATCTTTGTAGGGTAACTGAGGTCTTCATCTTTTTATGTTATGACCGATTTTGTAAATAATGTATTGAAACGTTTGACATGACCGTCATTTTCATCAACATATTTAACTGACTAGGATGTTACAGGAAGATTATAAGGGTGAGTATATTAGTTGTGTTTTCTTCACTTGATTGCTACAAAATAAATCCACTAGTGTTTTTGGTAATTTCCATTACTGACTGTTGCTTATTAGCACAAAATTTTACTGAATTTAGTTTATCTTGAAGTTGAAGAGAATAGGACTATGATTTAGCTAGTAACAAGAATAGTTGTTTTGTTGACTACTATACCTCAGAGTAAAGCTGCATATCAGAACCATTAGCATCAATAGCCACGGAAACAGGTTGATTTGCAACGGCTTTCATCAAAGCGTCCTCATTATTTTCAGGCACCACCTCATAACCATCGATCTTCACTACAGGTGTGTTGGTCTGTAAATTGGATCAAATGAATCAATTACATGAGCAAGCTTATTACAAAATTACTTCAAAGAAATTGATTTAATTTCAACCTTAGCTGAGTTGCATGTTTCATCCTTAGCCGCATATGGGTAGGTGGTTTCTGCGACCACTCCACCAGCTTTCTTGATGTAACCCAAAGCATGCTCAACAAGTCCTCCGTTGCAGCCTTCGTTGTCATGGTCACAATCCACCAGCTCCTGTTCAGAGAGCGAGACTAATTGTTTGGTTTTGATCTGGTTTATTCCTTCTACTGCAGCTACAGTTGAGAATGCCCAACAGCTACCTGCAGTCAAAGGATGATGATACAATGATATATGTCAGCACATCAGACTCTCACATTTACAGAGCATATTGTTCAAAATTAGAATATCAACAGTTGTGCAATTCGTCTGAAAACTTCACTAGTACAAAATATTTAAACTGAAACTTATAATTGCATTGACGATCTAAGAGATATCACAATCTAATGATCTGCATTGTCTACCTATATGACACTGAATGTCAAGAAAAAGGATTGATTATATGCATTAAAGTTTCAAGGAAATAATCATTTGCAAGGATAGCTTGCGACGTTATGTATGTTACATCTACTTTTCTATTTATCTTTAATTATCTATGTTGGACTCTCGACACTCCTAGAAGGTCATGGAATACTGTCATACTGACCAGACATGGAAACAGCTTGATTCTTACTCGTCAGTTGATATATCCCGACCTACATGTTGGTAGGTAAAAAATAAAATGCAGATGATCTTATAACAAATAAGAACAATAGTCAAGCACTCAAGCAGTACTTTGTCAAATGCAGAAGAATTAATGCACCACAAAGCAGAAAAAAATTTGCAATCTATTATCTGAGAGTAATTGTATGAGAAACTAACCGCAATTCCCCTGATTCTTAACAGGGGTAACAGCTCCTTTAGCTCTCCAATCAACAGAAGCAGGAACATCTTCTAGTTTACCATGCATGAACTCTGTCACTGGACGTGGGTGGAACATTCTGTGATGCGCGATTTTAGACCCATAAGAGGTTCTAAACTCGTGGTTAGTCATGTCAGCATACATGTTCAGCTTTAGCTTATAAGGCTTATCCATCTTGTTCGTCTGGTGAACATGACGGGCATTAGCCTTGAACACATTAAACCGCCTTTGCTTCTCCTCGAGGTCCCGGGAGACAGTATGGTATGCCCTCCATCTTTCGTATAGATCCCAAAGGCTCTCTTCTGAGGCGAGATCTTTCTCATGGAAGTCGAAGCTCTCTGCAAGCCCCAAAACAAGGGCCGCGGAGAGAAGCACCAAGAAAAACTTAGCAGTATGCATTTAAGAATTGGAAATTACTAATATGGAAAGATTGATGTTAGCTGGTTTTGGTATATCTGCTTGCAAGCAAGCATTAGAAATATATATAGCACAACATCAAGCAACATTGGCGATCATCTCTATGGTGATATGTTAGCTCTTTACCTGAAAATATGGAAAAGATAAGTGGCTTTTTTCATGGTTGAAATGTGTGTCGACTCAGAAAACATGCCAATCTTATTGTTCAATTTTCGGCTTTTCCTCAGAAGCTGACGAATGAAGGCATCTTATGGAAAGCTTTTGCTACAATATAAGCAGTTTTTAGGGGAGGCGCACTGAGAAGCAACCGCTCTTAGATGCAGAGTTCTTAACAGAAATTGCTGCTCTGAAGCAGTGCCGAAAATCACCACTGATCAGTTTCACATTGCTCTCAAAGATACCTCACAATTCACATTACTACAAACACATTTTGGACACCAATATCCATCGTAAAACAAGAAAACCTTTAGAGCTGCGCCGATTATATCCAGCCTGATCGGTTCGATCCTGGGCTCCAGGCTGGGACAATTCGAGTTATGCTCAATCAGCGCTCACTTGGTCAAAGTTCGAATCAGCCTGATTTTACAAGTCTTGGGCGCACTTTTTTTTTGTTAGGCCAAGCATGTTATAATTTCCAGAAGACCTCAACTGCAAGTCCTCTGCTTTCATTGGACTTCATGGTCATTGATAGTTTTATCATTAAGCATAAATATCTGTTTAAATGTTACTGTAATATCTTTGCTACTAAGTAAGATTATCAACAAAGATGTAGAGGATTCTTATGTCTCGTTCAAAGAAGTCTAATCTTTCTTTAAGTAAAGGTGTTGAGGATTCTTAAGTTACACTTTAAACAATCTAATTATCAGAAATTCATGAATTAGTTAGAAGAAAATCATAGAAAATCTCATTTTGCCAAAAAATTGAGTGAAGATTGCAAATAACGCAGACTTTTAATTTACCAAGCTAAGCTTGGTCTAGTGGGAAAGATTGTACCTTCCAACCTTGAGGGGGGGGGGGGGGGGGGGTTCAATCTCCACTAGAGACACTTTGAGGGTAGGTATGCTTTATGGCCTTACCCTCCCCCCCTCACTCTCAAAGTGTCTGACCCGCAAATACCAGACCAAAAAACCGTAAACATCAACATAAATATATCTTCGGTGTTGCCTATCTTCATACAAAATTAGAATACAACACACCAATCATACAGTTTGTATCTATGTCAGGCAGGTGAATGGATAGGCAGTCAGCTTTGTTTCCGAGACAGTAAGCCAAGGGTAACATTGGAAGGGGGATCACAGATGTAGACTGTTACAGATTTTAATTGAACATTAAAAGATCAGAAGGGGCATAGATCAAGATATTCCAGAGAATCAAGACACAAGAAGCAAATCTGAAATTTTGCCAATAATCCGTGAAAAAAATACCAGTGTACTTGCCATTGAATATTTTATAAGCTCAACGCAGTACTTTGTTTACGACAGGAATCTTCCATCGATTTATCAGAATGCAATTTATGATAAGTTGATCAAAAGTCAGAATAAAAACACTCAAGGATAACAGCAAAATACAGATAGCTCCATGTAAGCTATAAAAATTATGCAACAGAATCCCTTTGCTTCGCTTGTTGCATGAGCTCTTCCCTCACTCTCCTGATCTCCATTTCCTTCTCCTCTCGTTCTCTCTGCAAAAATAAACCAGAAGCTTGCTTTATTTTACATACACGATCAAAGCCTCAAAATCTCTCGGCTACAAAAAAATTGATTGGTTCAAATACTACATACAGTAAATTTGACCTCTCGCAAGCACTCTTAAAAACTTTTAACGAACAAAAAGGGTGGCAGGGAGGTTGTAGTACTTGTAGATCAGCTAAAGGCCTTATTGAGCATTTTCCATTAACCTATAAGTTATAATCAGGCAAGAGCATATAGCTAGTTTTTACATGTTATTAGACAGCCATCAACAAGAAGAGAGCTTTTAAGCTGTGTGGTCTCACTCACTCACTCTCTCTATCTCTCTCTTTCTTTAAAGGGTAATGAAGTACAGAGCCTTCCATCCCCCCTAACTATTATCTTATTCGATTAAAAAGAGTAGTAAATGATATATTTTCTCTTACGTACTTCCCCCAAATCACTCCACCAAAACTAAAGCAAAACTTGGCTGATTTATCACTCTCTGGCTTAGCTACACTCATCATAAGGTTTACCTTCAGCTGCTCATGCATATAACTTTTGGTCTTATCATTCAAGCCAATCAAGAGATTCAAATCTCAGTACCAATCAGAACACCATTTACAAGATTTAAGGTAACAGAGAAGTAAAATATGCTACAGAAGCAGGAAAAATCAGACCACGACAGTATATGATTAACATCAAACCAAGATCCAAATATACTGGATCACATACCAATCAATCTAGTACTTCCAAGAAACACAGAACCCAAATGCTAAGTTTAACGCAAAATTTCATACAAGTATCTAACTGCCCACCTAGTCCCTACAGGTGGTTCATAAGAAATTATGAGAAAAGGCAAGGAAGCCCAAGGAAAACAATTACCAAGACTAAAGAAGAAATCCACCAACATCATAGAGTAAAATTGGTAAGTAAAATGCACAAATAAAGTGAAATGAGTTCTAAACTTATAAAGTTATAATTACTTAACCAGCCAACATTCATATAAAAAGTCAATACTAAATTTTTTATTCCTTAACCCAAAAACATCATTCTCCAAAATCTAAGGCACATCTCCGAGCAACATTTCTATCTTCATTTTGGAAGGGGTCTGGTATCAGTTATGCCATCAACAATTCTATCTTTTCAACACTTCAATCACAAGGACACAACATCCAACTAAACTCAAACACAAGGACATGACATCCAATTCATACATATTTCCACTAGGGTAAAATAACCTAATTTAACACTAAATATCCTCCCTAACCAACATGAAGTAGATATAACTTATAAGTCTAGATAAACAATATTGCTTATAGTTGCCCGTCAATTTACACCCTCCGTCCCAAACTAGTAATCATGTTGACATTGTAATTTAAACTAGTAATCCGACAACTAAATCCGGATGAAGATAGTAACCAGAGACAAACGAACAGAGAAAAATCCCTAATTAAGGGATAAAAAAGAACAGAATCAAACTGATCAATCTCCGATAGAATGGGCAAACATCATTTATATGATTCCCCTAAGAAATTAATAATTTTTAAATCAAAATAGGATTCTAATTTCGGTTCTCCGAGCAAAATTTTCATATTCCCCCCCTCTTTAATTGAATTCCTACTACATTCCCAGCTAAATCACCAGATAAAAATTAAAAATTAAACTTCCAATTTCCATTATTAAAACTAATTCAATAAAAATTGAAGTTGGACAGACAATGTTAAAGCTAATAATAAGCAGTAAGTATGAAATTAGGGTTCGAGAAAACAAGATCAAATTTTGAAAGCAGAAAAAGAGTATACCTTTTCATCTTGATGAAGAGCGATCCAAACATGAACTTTGTCCATAGATTGCCAGAAGGCGAAAGCACCCAATGACATCGCGAAGAATGTACCCATTTTCACCATTTTCTTTCTCCTCTATTTTTCTCTCTCTATTCAGATTATTTGGAGAAGATGAATTGGAGATAATTGTTCTATAAGGTACAGATTATTGGGTCTAAGGTTGGTTTTGGATGGGGGCCTTTAATCTAGGCCTTATTTCTTTGATGTTGAGGTTGTGTGTCCAATGCCCTATATTTTAGGGGTGAGCATGGGTCGGATACCCGTACCGTTAACACTATCGATTCGGGTATCCGATAACAAATAACACTAAAAATGATATTCATTACTCGAATCAATAAGTTTGGGTATCCGAACTTCGGGTACTCGGATTTTCGGATCGGTTATCGGGTACCCAATATGATATCCAATAATAAAAATTTAGACTTTATAATGTAGTTATTATGATATCATTCAACACTAATCAACAATAATATCACATGATCATGACCAAATTACTAATAATTACTAATCATTTAAATTATGAAGTGATTACGAAGTAAAGTAAGAGTTTAGATTTTGGATAAATAGAGGAAAAAAAAAGAAAAAATTGCTTATCGGATCGGATCGAATCGGTAACCGTTAATTTTAAAATGATACCCAATAACCGTACCCGATAAAAAATTATCGGATCGGGTACCCGAACCGTTATGGTTATCGAAACGGGTACCCTAATTTTCGGTTTGGTTACGGTTCGGATTTTCGGGTTTCGGTTTTTCGGATTATTTTGCTCAGCCTTAATTGTGGCCAAATCGGATATTCGATCTGAAATATCAAATATCAAATAGACCGTACTTCGTATCTAAAATTTTTGAACTGAGTAAAATACAATTCGAGTATCTAATCCAAAATATCAAAATAATTTATTTTTAAAAGTGAAGTGTTGTGATTATTAGACCTCTATTGAGGAGACTCAACTTTGAGTATCAATAACTTAATACTAAAACAGACACCGGAAGTGACATGTGTCACATCCTGGTGCTGTTTTTTCCCTCCAAAACTCCCCCTCCCCTTTTAGCAAAAAATATTTTATTTTTGGAATATTTTTATAATAAAACTATAATAATATTATTCCAAACTTATATATTATCTCTATATAAAATGTATTCCTTTTTATTGTGTTCTAAAATTTTCTATGCACATTTACCTAAAATAGTTTTTCAACTCTTTTTTAATTATCTTTTAAACGAGTATTATTGAGTTTTACCGAAAAATTAATAATAAAATTGATTCATATCGAAGTAATTGATATTAAAGAAATTACTTTAAAATATCACTTTAATTTTTTTTTATTTTTTTTTATTTATTTTTTCAAATTCCTTTTTATTTTGTTTATTAGACTAATAGAGTATTAGATATGACCATAAAATAAATGTTGTGTTCGACAACTATATTAAATGTCTAATTCGAAAATGTGAAATATTAATCAATTTTTTTTTACATTATTAAAAGAAGTTAATATCTTAGTAAATACAAAAAAGTTATTATCTTTTGCTGAAACACTTTATTGAGATAATAATTTTATCACATTCGACATTCATGAGTAATATGCATTTTAAAAAATATGTCGGACATAGTGACAAGTGACATATTCTTGTGTTTCTTCCTCGTTTTTTTTTTGATAAATAGCTATCATCGATAAATAAAATTTTAAGGCAATAAACAAACAATGATCAAACTAGAATTATTGGATAGCTTTCAAACACATTTTTGTATAATAACAAAGAGCGACGATATCATGTAGAGTATCAATCCATAAACATGTATGTACTACTAATAATATAGGTTAGTGTTGCCTAATTATTGATTGTTATTGCCTTTAATGATCTAAGTAGTATTTATTTTCATTGAAATTATTTTATTGGATATAAAGATGATATATTATTTAATTTAATTTGTAATTTATATATTTACATGTATGTGGTGCCAATAGTTTTACTGTAGATTTTAGTTTGTTGTTTGATTAATGTTTTGATGTTTATTAGAAGGCATTTATAAATAAGTGTTTAGTTATATAGTCACTAGATTGTATAGTTTTATTGGGAATAATATGCATTATTAATGTAATATAATGTATACTACTTTCAAATATTTTCAACTCAACTAATCAACAATAAATTTTTTCTTTCTCAATTGTAGTTTTAATGAATTTTGCCTTATTATATTATTTTTCTATATGCATTGCATTTGTTTATTCCACATGAGTTGGCTCATTTTTATATTATATCAAAATTCATTATGAGAAAAAGATTATTACTACCGTGCATCATATCGCACGGGCACTAATCTAGTTGAAATACAAAATGAGTTGACTTTTACCTTCAATAGTGATACCCAACTCACCTCTCAATTTAGCAACTCATGTGAAGTCTAATTTCCCAATGGTGAGACTCTCTAAATTATACTAATGTCACTTTCAATTTATTGTAAGTTTTATTTTTTTTATTTTTTTTTATTATTTTTTTTAGAATAAAAACAAAAATAAAAATAAAAAAATTAAAACTTAAATAATATTACAAAATATATTATAATATTGATAAGGGGCCCACACTTTTTGTCAAATGAGACTTAAAGTTGGGTATCTAAACTTAGCAACTTCAAATTGGTATCCTTTGCAAAAAATACCCTCTCTCTCTCTCCTAAAAAAAACCTCCTTAAGTTTCACCATTGGAGATGGTCTTATAAAACGGAGGAAGTAAATATTTAACACTTTTATTAAGTTTAAGTTATTTTTAAATACAATTGGATATTGATTATTAGATATTTTTAAAAGGCGATCCAAATACAATGCAAAATATTTCGTTTGTTCAATTTTTTATATTTTATTTTATATTTATTTATTATTTTTTTTTGACAAAAGGACTATTAAATTAAACAAAGTTAACAACACCAAGAAACAAAAATCAAAAAGTAAAATGAAGAAATTGACGACGCCGAGCATGAGTAGCTAGCCAATGGGCAAGAGACATCCAAAGACGAGGGACCTTCTGGATATGAAGAGTCGAGCACGAGGGCACGAGGGAATGTAAAGACCCAAGGAGTCAATAGGAAGACATGACAGTCCTCCCATGACCACGTAATAGCATCAAGATATCTGAACAGTCTGCATACAGACGGACATTGAGAAAGTATCGACGCACATCCATAGCCAAGGCCCAATAACAAGCCTGGATTTCAGCCTGCAAAGCCGAAGAGTCCAAAAAAGCTCTAGAACCCCCACCCAAAACCCTATCAGAGTCAGAGCACCGAAGGATCCAACCCGCTCCCGCTCTATTATCAGACCTCTCCCAAGCCCCATCAACAACCAAACAAACCAAAGGAGATACATCAGGCGAACCTTTCAATACAGCCGGATCAAACAAAGAGACAACTGGTTGACGCGATCCAGAATAAACCATATATTCCTCCTTCCATTTCATAGAAGACACACAACGGGCTTTCCAATCGGGAGCAAGCACCATAATAGAAGGAATAGAGCACGAAGTTTGACGAAAACGCAAAGCATTGCGCGAAAGCCAAGTAGCCCACAAGATAGCAAAAAAAACCAACCAAACTTTCCCAGTCCTTAGTCGAAGAAAAGACAGAGATCGAGCATATGAACCAAACCTCAAATGACGAAGAACACGAAATAGAGACCAGACCCCCAACACCCTCCAAGTCCTAAATAGGACGGATAAAACAACACTCTCGGAAAAGATGATCCAAACTCTCATTTTCCATGCCATAAAAACAATAGACTTGATCAATAGGCATACCACGGGACGCCAGGATGGAGACAAGAGCCAAAGCCTGTTGCAAAAGCTTCCAGCCAAAAACATGCCAACGAGGAAGAAGAGGGAGAGACCAAAACCTACCCTAGAGGAGGATGGGAGGGCGGCCACCCCATAAGACTGGGAAGCAGCTTGCAGCAATGTAGCATATACTGATTTTGTGGAGACCTTTCCATCCCTAGTAAATTTCCAATACACAAAATCATCCATCCTTTGCAAAAGACGATCAAGGGATAAAATCTTCACAGCTGAACAGGCATTAAATAGCCAATGAACTCGAGAAACATCCCACGCGTGAGAACGCGGATCAATAAGAGAAGAAACTTGAGTCGGGAACTCTAACTCAGAGGGAAGCGACTTAAATTGCATAGGCTCCCCCAAAACCCATGTATCCTGCGTGATTCGAACATCACGTCCAGATCCATCCAAGAAATACCAGGAGCAAGAGAGGCCATACCCAAAGCAAGACCCTTAGCACCCCACGAGGGCCGAGATAACCGATCCTGATTTAAAAACCTAAGAGCCGGATACTTAGAGTGAAGCAAGCGCGAAGCCTGTAATTGGGGATTCCGAAATAGCCGCCAACTCTGTTTAGCCAACAAAGCCGAATTAAAACAAGAAAGACTGCGAATCTCGAGAACTCCCATACCCTTAGGAGCATGAAGCAATGCAGAAGACCGAAAGCAAGACCCTTAGAAGATTGAGAAGAACGCCACCAAAAACGAGCAAGCAATCGGTCTATCCGGGAGCAAATAGACCCAGGAACCTTAAAAACAGATAGAACATGGTTAAAAGCAGCCACAAGCATAGAATTGATGATGACTAGTTTAGCCACCGGGGAAAGCCGAAGAGAAGCAAACATCGACAAACCGTCAACCAACTTATCGACCATAAAGCCAAAATGGAAACTTTTCCGACGACCCAAATCGACAAGCAACCCCAAATAAGTACCCAAGGATGGCTGATGATAAAGGCGCATAGCACGAGATAAATAATCACGGTAGTCAGTCAGGGTATTAGGTTTAAACTTAACAAAGGAAATCTGTAAGTTAAAAACCTGACCCGACACAGAACAAAACTCCTGCAGTAGACCCATAACATGATCATAAGAGGAAGGAGTGACCTGAAAAAACAGAAGCAAATCATCCGCAAAAAGAAGATGAGAAATAGACGGGCCACCCCTAGAAATTTGAACTCCCTTAAACAAACCCAACGACTCAGCGTGCCGAAGCATTGCAGATAGAACCTCCATGCATAACACAAAGAGATAAGGAGAAAGAGGATCTCCCTGTCAAAGACCACACCGTGGCGAAAAGAGGAGGATGGCGTACCATTGACTAAGACTTGGTATGAGACG